GGGGGGGGGGGTGAGTTGTAAGGATCTGCGTGTTTAAACGATTTACTTTCTAGATCCCCAACTACTGTGTAAAGAGTCATTCGCTTCATTTCTGTCAAGAGGAATTTAATTGTTCGAGACATGAACCCAAATTGAAAAACGTCCAGGAAATACTAGGTTCCAAGCAGTCTCTTGTTTATCTTTTGAGTCACAGTTGATCGAGAGCACGATCCAGGCGGATGGAGGGGCTAGCGACGAAGCCGCGCGCGAGGAACGCGAGGGCGGAAGTGCGAGCAAAGAAAAAATAAGAGGCTGCGATAGGGTCTTTGATCTGGCTATCTGCCGCTCTTCACGCCTCCTTAGCTGACTTTTTCCTCTCCCCGCCCCAATCTCTCCTCTTTTTACCATATATGCATAATATTACTTTTCCCTAGGCGCGCGTGGCTGTATAGAGATTAAGTAGAACGAGCACTCGCGGTCTGAGAAGATACTGCTGTAATTTTTGCTTCAACGGCCTACTTTTAAGGAAGAAGTCTTATTATCAGTAACAACTGCCTAAATAACAGGCACTGTAATAAGCGGCAATCGGAGAGAGAAAAGAAGTAAACCACAAATTGGGGCAAAGTATTGTAGTTATATTGCTGGTAAGAGCATAACTCGGCTTGCTACTGAATTGTGTGAATACTGGAGTCACTCCAATAAATTGAAATGACACCTGCATTCCTGCTATATTTCAGTCATTTGTTTGTTTGTTTGTTCCTTTTTTTTTTTTTTCCACTGACACTACTTTCCAATAAAGTTCAGTTTGTAATGTAACGAAGCCTGACACTATAGGCAACGTTTTTTATTTATTTGTTTACTGATATTCTACTGCCAGAAATTAGGAATTCATGCGTGGTCTCCGCGACTAAAACGCCAGTGTTATTAATTACCATGTTCTTTAGAAAACTCAATTGTCTCTTGGCGGAAAAATATTCACTATCATTTGGGCCAAGTTTCTTTTCTTTAATTTGTAATGTTTTTATTCTACGCGCGCAAAAATCACTAAAACAACATTATGGTTAGCGCTCCCTGATAAAATGTGCCTGATACTTTATTCTTCATAATTCTTCAAGAGCTTTCTGTGTATTAAAAAAGGTCCTAAGTGATGACTTTTGCACCGAATTCACCTAAAAGAGCATTATCTTCGTGACATAGCCATAGCACGGGGGAACGCAATGGGCCCTTGAAGAAGAAGGGAAAAGAACCACAAAATAGTGCACATTCTTCCCTTCTCTCTCTCCCTCCCCCTCCCCTCTCCCCCTCATGCACTCTTAATTCATGTATCTTGAATCACTCCTATCCCGTCTCCTCCAAACACCTGACGCGTAGGTTATTAATTTACTCACCCGTTTTCCCCAGTCCTCCCCCTCCAGAACAACCACCCTCCTCGGAGGACCCTGCAGATGCTTGGTTTAACGCAGCTGGGATCCTTTTGTCCCTCAAACACGCGGCGGCGGAAAGGAGCGTTAGGATGGGGGCCCCAATGGAAATGGTACAGTGGACCCCTCCTGGAAGTGATCCTTCAATTACGCAGCAACAGGTTTGTAATTTATTTGCCCGGGGGTGAGTTAAATCTAATCATTTATTTTAAATTCTTCTTTATCACTCCGAATGGCAAAACCATCGACTCAAAGCAAAGAGACAAGTCATAATTTATGAAACTAAGACAAAATTAAAAACGAATCTGGCCTTAATGCTGTCCTTTTTAACTTTCTTCCTTTTTGCCTGAAGGTGCTTCGTTTTGGCTTTCTCTTAGACATTAATTGCCCTTTTTTGTATGGTCTTCGTCGATTACGTGGTCTCCTCAGAAAACGAATACTTTTTTTGTGTTAATGATATATGAAATAAATCATATATGAACTGCGAAAATGAAATGAAAATGAAGAAATGATCGTCGCAGTGAACGTAATGTATGCAATTGTGTAAAGAAGCCCTGATTTTTTTTCAGGCTTCTTTACGCAATTGCGGAAATTGCGTTCACTGCGACGATCATTTCTTCATTTTCAGAATATTTTTTTGTTGGAAATATAGATTGCCTGCGACGTATGGAATATTTCCAATTCAGGAAGCTTTAATATCATCACATATGATCTTTAATAGGATAAGCTAAAGGCAGCCAGGAAACTATATTCGTCACATGCAGTGAACGCTGTATTTTTCATTTGTTTTATATTTTCGTTAGATCAGTCATCTACCATTGAATGGATTTTCCTCTCCANATGGAAATGGTACAGTGGACCCCTCCTGGAAGTGATCCTTCAATTACGCAGCAACAGGTTTGTAATTTATTTGCCCGGGGGTGAGTTAAATCTAATCATTTATTTTAAATTCTTCTTTATCACTCCGAATGGCAAAACCATCGACTCAAAGCAAAGAGACAAGTCATAATTTATGAAACAAAGACAAAATTAAAAACGAATCTGGCCTTAATGCTGTCCTTTTTAACTTTCTTCCTTTTTGCCTGAAGGTGCTTCGTTTTGGCTTTCTCTTAGACATTAATTGCCCTTTTTTGTATGGTCTTCGTCGATTACGTGGTCTCCTCAGAAAACGAATACTTTTTTTGTGTTAATGATATATGAAATAAATCATATATGAACTGCGAAAATGAAATGAAAATGAAGAAATGATCGTCGCAGTGAACGTAATGTATGCAATTGTGTAAAGAAGCCCTGATTTTTTTTCAGGCTTCTTTACGCAATTGCGGAAATTGCGTTCACTGCGACGATCATTTCTTCATTTTCAGAATATTTTTTTGTTGGAAATATAGATTGCCTGCGACGTATGGAATATTTCCAATTCAGGAAGCTTTAATATCATCACATATGATCTTTAATAGGATAAGCTAAAGGCAGCCAGGAAACTATATTCGTCACATGCAGTGAACGCTGTATTTTTCATTTGTTTTATATTTTCGTTAGATCAGTCATCTACCATTGAATGGATTTTCCTCTCCAACTGATACTGCAGCGTTCCTGTCAAGTGCGATAGGTGGCCAAAGCGACTCCGAGTGTCCTCAGGATTTCTACTCGGGGGAGGTCTTTCAGGAGGAGACTTTTCCAGCTCACGGTCATAGCTCCAGCCAATTAGGGTCCAAGCCTAACAAGTGTCGCCTGTGTGATAAAGTGTACGCCCGGCCGTCCACCTTGCGAACGCACATGCGCACCCACTCTGGGGAGAAGCCGTATCAGTGCCACATCTGTTTAAAGTCCTTCTCACAAGATGCTAATCTAACAGCCCATCTGCGAATCCATTCGGGTGAAAAGCCATTCAAATGTTTGGTTTGCGATCGCAGGTAAGTAAAAATTAATGCAGAAGTGACCAAATAGAAGTTGCTAATACGCGCGTTTATCGCAGTTAGCCCGAATTTCAGCCGTCTCCCCAAGTTTCAAACTCCCAAGAGAGACATCATCTCTCTTGGAAGTTTGCGACGCAAGGAGGCGGCTGAAATTCAGGTTGTTATCGCATCAGCCAGCGAGAGAAAATGAACGCTCGGGCTACAATAAAAATGAAAAAGTAATTGAAACAATTCGAAAGACCTTTTCTCAGTACTAAATATTAAAGAGAAGAAATATTAAATTAAATAAAAAATATAAACACCCGGTGCAATACAGGCTCCGGTAAGTTTATTACAATTTAACTCTTTCACCTTGATTGCACCAGCAGAACTCAGTGACTAGTGCATCAAAAACAGGTTGTGTAGTTTTATTCCATGAAGTGTAACGTTGCCATGAAAAGAAGAATAGTTTTCAGAAATAAATTATCTGTCATTTCGAGACACACTGTAGAAATTAAAAAGTTGATACATTTCTTTTTATCGGGAATTTTAGTCTTGTAATGACGCGAGAGTATTGTTCATTCGCAAAGCGAATTACGTCAAGGAACTTGACCTTTTTAAGTTAAGGGAGTAAATACGCGTTACAATTTAAAAATCAGTCATAGTCAGGCATTCTTGGCCCTATACTTAAAAAGAATAGGGAAGATAGAGGTTAAACTAGAATTTTTACTTCTGCACCATCTTTAGGTTTGCCCAGTCCTCTTCAGTGACCACCCACATGCGTACGCATACTGGAGAGCGTCCATACCGCTGTAAAATGTGTTCCCGTGGATTTGCTGACAGCTCCACGCTGACCAAACACCTGCGGACTCACACTGGGGAGAAGCCGTACAAGTGTAAGATTTGCCAGCTCAAGTTTTCGCAGTCAGGAAACCTGAATCGCCATATGCGTGTGCATGAGCATTGACCTAAAGCGCATCTGCCGTTTGCATATGTTGCCATGCAAGTTCATCTTCGTTATTAATTTTTCAGCATTTTGTAAAATGTATTTTAATTCTTTCTGGAACATTTTCAGGCAAACTTAGTCGTAATTGATACCAGACTAAACTCAAGTTTTTTTAAAGTAGTTAATGTTATCTTTATTAATTATTGGAATGGAGGTACCTGAATCAAATATTTAGGACGTAAGATTCTCGAATGCTTTGGTCTTATTACCTAAGAGCAATTTTTTTGCACAAGGAAGATTTTTTTTTCTCCATTTATTTGTTTTAAAGTAAAAGATATTCTTTTTCTTTCAGTTCGTATCCTCGTCTGAATAAGATGATGATCATTAAAAAACAACAGCAACAATCACCTTCCTCTTTAGTACACAGGCGTCCCAAACTAAGTTATATGTGAGCGCATGTTAAAAATTAATTCATCTTCAGGGAAAAAAGTGCTTGGGGCGCCGGTGCTTTTTTAATATTCAGATATGTTACCTTAATAGCTAGATCAACTTTGTATATAAATAAGACAATAAATGTAGACAAAGGCTCGCCTAATAGGGACGTGGTCGGACAAACGGGGTAATAATCTCTTTTCCAGATTCCCAGTCAATAAGAGTGAGATCTGGGACGAGATTAACAAGGAAAGCGTAAGGTGGAATTATTTCTATAGTAAACATGTATACCGCTCCCATAGCTACTTGCTCGGTTGGCGACCTAATTGCAACACTGGATGCAGCTTAACTGTCTGCCAGAGATACGAAATACTGCCCCCCTCCCCCCCTCCTTCTCTCCTGTATAACAAGCCTGTATTTAGCGGACATATAGATAAAGAGGACACCAGTAAAGGTCAGCTGTTCCTTTGAACATGAATGAACATGTGAGGAAGCTCTAAGAAAATCTGCATGGAAGGTCAAGCAATAATGACAGGTTTTACTGAATGCCATTTCATTTCTTCCACGTTTTCTTAATCGTCTGGCCGTAAGGATCAGTTAATCTCTTTTTCATTAGCATTCAACATTTTTTTCTAAAGTTCGGGGCTGCACTAGATACACCACTTCTCACTGATTCGTTGTTGTTTTAGCTTTATTAGGTGAGATAAAGCCTGCGGACTGAACAGGCGCGAACGAAGTTATGCTGAAGGGATATGTAAAAGGGGACCTTCCCCGAGGGTACAGCGATCGCCAGGGATTTTTTTAACAGTAGCAAATAAAGCGAACAAATGAAATTCCAAATATTTTCTAAGCTATCCTAACTCTTTAAAATATGTAGCTACCTATCTTATATTATAAAAATTAAAATTATCCTGGATGAATAAACATATATTTCCTAGACTAAATAATATTATACATTTTCATCTCTTGGCGACAACTTCCCTATGTATCTATGACTCGTTTTCAACTCTTCTACATACACATGGCTCAGACATAATAAAACTGTATTTACAACTGTGGCCAAGGAGTTGAACTCTGAAGCACCGGGAAACCAGTGACAGCTGGACTTGAACCCGAGAGTTCCAGGTTACCTTTGGATTGGGCTGCATAGAAAAATACAGGCACCCAGAAAATGTACGAAGGGCTTCGAGTTCTTATTACGCCCAGTCAAAATAAATTACGAACGTAATTTTAGTAAGAGGGGGTTCTCCTGTGACCATCATTAGGGAGTTTAATTCATCTCCTTCAATTCGTCAAATGTTGGTAAATTGTTTTGGGAGTTGAATTCTAAAATGTTTGTATCGAAGTTAAGGAAAAGTAAAAAAAGGCGTTGTGTTGTGTTCATGTCCACAACATAACGTGAAATTAGGCATTTTCGTGTCGTAGTCGTGCACTGACGGCATAGAAATGTACCAAAAAAAAAATGCACGATACGCGTGCAGAGTTGTTTCCTTGCTTATCTAAACCTATTGCTTTTCTACCGTTCTCGTTGCGGTCGCCTTCGCCGTCACCGTCGTCGTTGCTTCAGCTCCTTTTTAATATAACTCGCGGTCCCTGACAAACAAGATTACCTTGAAACTAGAGTCACACCTTTCCACAACGGTAACCTTAGAGACTGAATTCAGTACTACGGCTGTTGTTGGGAGATGGCCGTTTTAGTTTGTAATCAGGTTACAACAAAGGTGACTAGTTCCGCTAGAACCAAATCAGTGGCCGTTGTGGAGAGGGATAAACAGACATCAGTTAGCTTAAGTGTATTTGAGCGACGCACGTCAGTGCCGGATCCAGACCTTTAAGATAAAGGGGGAGGGGGGGCGGTGGGCGCAGTCATCCAGACCCTTAGATAAGGGTGGGGGCTCCCGGGCCCCTCCCCTGGTTCCGCTACTGCACGTCAACTCAACCGAACTAGACTTTTTACCTCCTTAGGCAACGGTTTTACCCAAAGGTTCGGACAAATCGTCCCTATCAGAGTAAAGACACGTCATAGAAATACAAATTAGGGAGCGTCGAGGGATATTTATAAAAGAGAAAATGCCTTACTTCCGCTTGGTGTGCGTCGCTCAAATACACCTTCGCTTAAGCTCCATGCTACGTTCCACTATCCTCTCTTGATGACGGGAAGTAGCGGTTCGCCCGTGTTTTAAGCCGCAAGAGAGGACTATGGGATAGATTCTTGTTAGTCTCTCAAATTTTGAAATTCCCGAACAAAAACTGTCCAAATTAATTCTTACGAATGAAATTTACAGGAAACTAAATATTTTATAATACATGATATAAACAGTATACGACAAGTAAAAAACTTGGTCAGATGGTACAATGTGACGTCTGCAGATTGTTGTAAACGTCATCCTAGAACTCTACAATGTCTCACTATCTTTTCTTGGGTGGCCGTTAGTAAAGGTTCTACTCTAAGTTCGACTGTGTGTTTTAAAGACATTTTTTAACACAGTACGCCGGTGCAATGTGTTTTGTCTGGATGCCTTGCAACTATTTTCACATCACAGGAGTTAAGTACTTGGCGTTCCTATAGGCTCAGCAATATGTATTTCTACAGTCAGTGATGTTTAATTTCAAACCCATGTGGGGGGGGGGGGGGGGGTTACCCCTTTTTTTTACCCTTTTAGTATGGGCCGGCCCCACGGGGTGTGGTTTTTGCGCGGGTTGGGTTTAAAAAGGAAAAAGGGCTTCTAGTTGGTTTGTATTTGGTAAATGCTTTTCTAGGAAAACGG